TAAACCATTAAATTGACCCTTTGAACTCAGAAAGTGAAACTTACTTATTCACAGAAGCTTTTTGGGGAAATTCTGCTGATTCAGGTCGACATTTATTACACCACCAAATAACTAACAGACTCTAACGGTGCAGTTATTATAAATAGGCTAACTATCAGCTTTGATCATGCCAGAGTCTCAATGTGAATCATCTTTGACTATGACAGTCGTGTGTTCTTACACCTATCTGCTGTAAATTCTGTGAACCTGCAAAAAAAAAAGAAAGAAAAGTTGCAAGCAGTCTTATCAGGTCAGGGGTGGGGAACTCCAGGCCTCAAGGGCCGGTGTAGATCTCACCCTGAGTCAACACACCTGAATCAAATGATTAGTTCATTACTAGGCCTCTGGAGAACTTCAAGACATGTTGAGCTGTGTTGGATCCAGGACACACCTAAAACCTGCAGGACACCAGCCTGTGTGGCCTGGAGTTCCCCCACCCCTGTATTAGGTGATATGAAAAGCAGAATGGCATTACTAAATCTATTTTAGCTCTGAAAAATGTCAGTCTCTTCTGCGAAATGTTTACCATGTTGTCTCTATCTGTCTCCTGTTGGATGCCATATTGCTGTCTACAATCCAACTAACAAGAGCTGCAAGTGTTCAAAAGAAATTCTAACATTTTGTGGTGCTGAGAGTGCAATTTGCAGATTGTTAGCTTACATTTTAAGGCATCCGTTAGTCATACATTACCTTGAAACACAATGTATTGTTACGGTTTAGTCGTGCCACTTTTTGTGCAAGAATAGCATGTTCTGTAGCTTCTTGTGGTGCTGTTAGTCAGAGAGCTGATTGGATGTGATTGAAGACACCTTAAGTGTCTCTACACAACACTAATCAATGAATAAAGAGCGGTAAGTGTTAGTGTGACTGCTTGTTAATGACAGTGGTTCTCTGCTACCCTCTGGTGGCCGGTATTTGTTGTGCAACAATAGAATGAGATCCCCACAACATCACAAATTTGGTTTAGTCACAGTGCTCTCTGCTGGCAGCACAAATTTAGTGCATCAAATTGAAAGATTGCATTGCGACATTTTCGGCAATATTTACCTGAGTAAGGTCATGAGTGCTGCTTTCTAATAAATGCTATCAAATTCAAGTTCTTAAAAGGTTTCTGGACTGATCCAAAACTTTGTGTTCAAGGCAAAGGTGCACACTTTTTACAAAAGAAGATTAGGTAATAAATGCATTTCATTATAGTGTACATCTGTTTTAATTTTTATGTATGGAGTCTTAGTACAGGGGCACTGTTGTTGTCCCGGGAGCTATGCTGCCCTAGATGAGAGCAAATCCCAGTAGCTCTATGAAGAATACACTATGGTACATGATTAACCTATACCCTGAAAAGGGTTACCGCAGCCACTCCCCTGAAGAGGCCCCTCACCTCATAGGAGAACACTTGTTGGCCAGGTCTTACCCTATTGGGCCAAGCCAGGTACAGCCATCCTGTGGTCCCACACCCACAGAAGATGCTGTAGGGGTTGGGTGCAACGTGACTCAGACAGCAACCAGTGGTCTGATGGTCCAGTCCTCATTTACTGAAATTAGGTCCTGGATCGTGGAATGTCACCTCTCTGGCATCTCGATACAGGGGGACGGCCTGTTTAAGGGCATGGCAAAGAAGTCCACACTTTGGCTAGGCCACTCCAAAAACCCTCATTTTACTTTATTTTTTGACCCATTTTTTAACCAGTGGACTCACTGCTGTGTTTCACATTATTGTCCTGCAATAACATCCAACTGTACCTGAAATTCAGGACACAAATTGGTGGCTGGATGGTCTCCATAAGGTTTTTCTTTTAGCTAGTTGTCCAGGTCCTGGAGCAGCAAACCAACCACAGACCATCACACTACCACATCATGTTAGACTCTTGTATGATGGTGAAATTGTAGTTTTACACCAGATGATTTTTTTTTTTTACTTTTTAACTTTCTATTTACTCGGGTTATCTTTGTCTAATGTTAAAATTTGGTTTTAACATTTAAGTTTGACAAAAGACTAAGAAATGAGACTGGTGAAAAATTTCACAGCACATTAGAAAATAAGGGAAAGTATAATAGGTTGATTTAGTGGATCTTTAGTTTAAAATCTTTTTTTACTTTAGTATTATGTTTTGTTTTTGTCTTTGAAGTCACTTAATATGCATGCACTGGACAGAAATGGCATTCCTGTAGAATGTCCATATAGTGAAAGCAGATACCAGAAGTTCAGATACAGGTCTGTTGACCACCAAATGTAAACAACAAGACTGAATAAAATCAAAGACAGAGCCAGATTTGTGAATGTTTAATACAATAATACAGAAAACAGCTGTACAGTATACAGTGCACACTCTTACACTTTCTCTCACACAAACTCACACTCAAAATCTCATCCACACACAGAGTCAAAGAGCACACAATAACTATAGCACACATTGCATTAACAAACACAGTGCTCACAGAATCTAAAGAGCTTTGACTTTCGGCCATTTTGGCTCCGGCCTTTGACTCATTGTCCATTGCTATAGAAACTGGTGTTTCTCTTGTCACCATGTTGATTCTATGGCACTTTTCTTTATTCACAGCCAGGTGGAGCAACAGGGGCCCAGCACAGGAACAACAAGAGCTGCCTGAACTCTGGGCTCCTGTCGATTTAAAGGTAAATCTTATTTATTTACTCATGATCACACTTCCTTGGACTCAGTGTTCATTATCATTTTCCATCATCTCCACAATCTCTACAATGATGGAGAGTACAGTGTAATGCTATCCTATGGGTATATTGGCCCAGAATACGATAAGATGGCCCATGTTTTGTTTTTAAAAAAAAGGTCACATGTAAACATGTAAAGAAATTCACACCGATTTACTGCTGCTGCTCTGCTCTCTGTGCGTTCAAACTGCCACTGTGTTATGTTTGGATTTTTACTGCTATTAGCCATGGAAAAGGTAAAGCCAGCTGAATGGCAGTCATAGCTTTTTAGCTCCCGTATGTAACATTTTTCAAGTGAAACAGACTCTTCGGTCAGGGCTCAGATACAGATTTGGGATCAACCGTTTATTACAATCAGTTGTAACACAGAACTGACTCTGATTTGATCCTACAGATGAGCTCTGATGTCTTTTTTGGAGATTGCAAAGTACTTGGTTAGGCTTAGCAGCCAGAAAATCCCTCATTAAATCTTTGTTAATCTTTAGTTACCAAGCCTCTTGCCTTGGAGCTAATCCTTTCTATTAGCTTTCTTATGTACAGCTCCCCCCTTCACCTTCTACCTAACCAGTAAACATTTAAAAAGATACTAATTAAATAAGCAAATTCAATATCAGCCTCATGTCAAAAGTGGAAAAGAAATAATAAATTACATGCCGTTTCCATGTAGTGTATTAATGGCATATTGTTTAATGTTAAACTAGAATTTGTTGAAATGTATACTGTCAAATGTGAAAGCAAGAACATGTGATATTTTAGATTATTCGAGTGTTGAGCAGCAGCTCATGACAGCTGTCAAACCATATTCTGTGATCTGTGAGATCTGTGAACTGCAGCAGAGCAGCAACTAGGTCACCTGCAGGTAATGTTCACTACATTGTGCACGCAAACATTAGTTATGCATATAATACAAAGTTTAATTTAATTTGTATTACTTTGAGGAGGCATGTTAGACAGCAGCAGAAAAAGTCAGGGCGGGGTTAATGAATATTATATCATAATATTCATCACGTTGTAATTGAGATTTGATAAGAAAATGAATTGAGTGATTCGGTTTCAATAAAATGCTCTTGAATCAAATACATCACTGATGGTGTAAACAAGCTGTGAATAACATCCACACTCTGTCCTTCTACACAAGGGCTATATGGTTTTTTGCTTAGCTACATTTAACACTAAGCTAATTAAGCTTGTGGTACGATTTCTATAACCAAACTGAGCTTGACAAAACATAAATAACTGACATTTGAGATTACATTTTTATACTGTGCATTTAAAAAGCATCGTGACTGACAACACTTCCTGTCTCTGTCGCATGTTAGTATTTAGGACAAATATTACAGTGTAACCAGGACTGCAAATATTCACTATATCCAGGTCTGTAGATGCCTCCTTTTATGTTACGTTAAAAGACTGCATACAGGAGACCTCCATTTGGTATATATTGCTAACTTGTTAGCACTGTAAATTGACCAATGCAAGTAGGTCCATGGATTTTTCCTTTGCAAATAAACTGAAAAATTTCATAACTTGTACATCACTTTCTACAATGTAACATTTGTAATGTCTTCTGTACAAAGTGCTGGGATATTTTACACACCTGGTAGTCTACAGCTTCTCTAATAGCCATCAGCTATGCTATCAGAATGCTAATATGCTGTCAGTGATAGTGGTAATATACATAAGTTTTGTTTGTGTAATGCTTAAGGTTTATGGCATTTATGGTTTATCTTAGTTTCGCTCTCTAACATTTGCTAATTAGCACTAAGCACAACTTGCAGAGGGGTACTGGGCATCAACCACCTGGCACACATTTTGGAAAGTTTCTCGGCCGATGCTAGTGCAAGACCAAAAGTTAGAGGTTCCAGTTTGCTGAATAACTGCTAACATTTTTGCCCCAAAAGCGTTCGTAATGGCCAGGTATGGTTTAGCCCCAAAAAATAGCCTAAGTCGTGCATGCCAGAAGAAATAATCCTGTATGGTATTAATAATCTCAGCATAGTCAATTATGCCAATATGCAATTGGCCCCATTTAGCTTGCTACTTAGGCGGTACGATAAACAACTGCTGCAACATCATCCAACATGTTTTTGTTTGACATCATGGGTAGAAGTGTGAGATAAAAAGGAGTAGGAACAAAGAACAGAGCAGCAATCACTTTTCACGCTCATATTATAAGTTTAAAACATCACACCTGTTGTTGTGCTCAGCTGCATTAACAAAACCTCGACAACTGCTTCTTAACAGCTCAGTTAATTATTATTCCTAACAGACATTCAGTCTCCCAACTCCCTGAATAGGGTTTTTAAGCCGCTCCACACTCTTTGGTTTTGACCTGCCTGCCTCTGTTTTTATTTAAATGATGACATCTATTTCACAGACAGCATTCCTCTGAATCTCTAATAAAATCACAACACATTTTCACCACTGTTAATGGGCCATGAAGCTGCTAAGAAGCTGTTATCTAATGAATCTTTTCACTCTGAATGTGATATTTTCATGGTCAGTTGTAAAAAAAAATCCCCAAAAAAACAAAGGTCTAGTGGCCCTTTTCAGTCACTGAAGGACCACTTAGTCAGCTGCTGTGTTTAAACAGAGAGTGTGAACTCTGCACGGCAACGCCCTGTTGCCAGGGTCGTCTGCCACAGTCAAATACAGTGGTACGTTTGGCAGAGGGCAGTCAGGCGTTTTCAGGCACTTCATCTTCCTCTTTCTCCTCCTCTGGGGCCTCCCCTGTAAAGGTTACCACAGCTAAAGGTGAGTTTGAGGGTTAAATGTCAGGAAGTTATGTTTGTTGTCAAGTTCATACCATTCAACATTTGGTCTGGTGACTTGTCATGAGATTCACCAGGAGGTGAGCAGTCAGAGTTCTGTGGCTGATCGGCAGCGGGTCCATCAGGAGTACGATGGCTGGTTGAGGCATGTGATTGGAGGTCCACACTTTCTTTTTCTTCTTGCGCCTTGCTGGCTAGCTCTGTTCACAATAGGCAAACACAGGAAAATACACAAATTTGCAACTGAAAAAAAAATTGTTCCATCAAATCTGGGGATCTTCTTCAAGCCTGGGCCCTTGATGGTTTGAGACTCTTAGCTGTTTCTAGGACTAGTGTTGGAGAAGTTTACACTCAGTTCAGTGTTTTTTGCATCTGATATTTGGTGGATATTTACATTAATGGCAAAGCTTGTGTGTAGATACATCACCACAACAACCTGACTGGCAAATGTTTCCAATATCAGAATCTATCTCAGAAGATGAGACACTTTCCCACTATATTACATTCCCAGTATATTAGATATGATATGTGGTGCTAAGCCAAAAATCACACCTAACTCAAATGTTGACTACCCAAAGGTAAACAGGTGGCACTTGCACAAAACTTTAGAAAAAGGTGGACAAATCTCAGTTCAACAATTTAACCTCTCACTGTATTGTGATCATGTCAACAAGGAAAAAATGACTTCGCAGTGGAAAAATATCGATTTTGTTGGGATATTTATCGGCAGCACCGTTATTAAATTTTTTTGTCTTACAAATTACAGCAGTCCACAGCTGAGTGTGTGAAACAAGCACAACAAGGCTAAAAGCACAAAGATGGTAGCTTATATTAAAATAAGGGTACAATTTTCTCAAGAGCATGTTTTATAAAAATGCAGACAAACATTTTCTCCAAAGAGTGTGAGATTATTATATTATCTGCCACGTTAGACCCCTAATTAAAGATTGTGAAATCATTATGTAGTTTTAGTTTGCATTATTCTCTTGACTTAGAAGAAGGTGATAACTATTACAGTTATTAAACTGATTTGTATTACATTAGACTGCTGATTTATTGTGAATGAATGATATTGTTTTATGATGCATTATACTGCTGAGGTATAAGAATTGTATGGAATAAAAGATTGTTGATTGAGCATTTATACACCGAGTATTGTCTTTCCTTCAGCCCAAAGATCAAAAGAATTGGGAGAATTGAACAATTGACATTTGTTACACTGAAAAACATCTCGTTTTTTGAGAAATCACTTATAGATTGTTGGAAGCTTTGTCTTATAATGTCCAAAAGTGCAAAACAAAATAATAACACTCCAAATAAAACAATTTTTTTCTAAATTTGGTTGTAGAAACTTTACCTCGAATGATTCTGAGTTTCTTGAATATTTGTTTGTGACTGTATGTGTACCGTGCACAGATAGTTCTTTCCATCTGTCCTTGTTGCTGGTAATGACACCAGAGAGGTGCAGCTTCAGTGCCAGCAGATCAATGGCTGTCAGGGAAAAGTCCATCTGTCCATCATCACTGTTCCCATGGCGAACACTACTGTGTCTCTGCACTGACTCCACGGTAACTGAACCGCTTCCTGTTAGACTGAAACAGAGAGAGAGGTGTAAAGCGATGAGAGGGACTGCCTTTTCCACCTTGGATGTATTAATGTATTAAGGAAAATTCCATATTGCATTGATTGAATAAAACCTGGTGAATGAGCAATACTTTTTTTCTACATGGCCAAAAACTTTATATTTCTATGAGAAAAACAATGTTACTTGATTTTGTGCAGTGATGACCTGCCCTCACACACCGATCAACATATGCTGTAGTCGAGGCATTTCCTGTGGACATTTAGCTGATTTAAGGTTGGGACTGTTACTGGTTCTTGTACCAACAAGTTATATTTTACCCTCTTTGCCCACTATGTGGTCTTGAAGAACACCAATTACTATTTGTGTCATGTATCTGTACATCGTGCTATGTACAGGTGTGCATCCATGTCCTGCATGCAACTCTCTCCATAGTTTCCTGTCAGTTCTCTGTACTAATAAAGATTGTATAATAAAGACAAAACAAAAAAAACCCCAAATAAATCTTTTTTTTTTTTAAGAAAAGAATAAGTAGTTGTACAATTGAGTGATTAGACTGGGTTTCACAGTTTCTGGTCTAAGACCAGCCTATTTTCAATGATTTTTCATCCAAAATCATCAAGTATGAATAAAAATGACTTTATGCAGTGTTGTAAAAACAATTACAAGTTTGTACAACCAGCTTCTGCAGCAGTAACTTACAGTAATAATTATCTGTATCACTTTATCAGTTTCTCACATTGCTGTTAATGTATTTGAGTCCACTATACTTTATAACATTGCTTTAGTTGACTGAGGTTTGTGGGCATCTGTTTATGCACAGTGCCACCACAGATTTCAATCGGGCTGAGGTCTGGACTTCCAAAGACTTGTTCTGATGTGGATTAAGAGTTTCAGCTGTTATCAAGTCTGTTGCTTTTCTTTTGTTGTGGTTATTCACTGAGGAATCGTTCATGTTAAAAACCTTGTGTCTAATACACATGTTGAATAAGTCACTGAACTTACAGCAGTAATAGCAGCAGTACCTGGATCTCCTGTTTCCAGTCTCTCTGGCCTTCCTGTCCTCCTCTATTAGAGGACCAATCACTTTCTCTGTCGTGTCAATCAGTACACTGAAGGTTGGCTCCACAATGAAGTCTATGAAACCTGAATCCCAAGAGAAATGTTAGGATAATAGAAGAAGAGAGAGCAAAATATATAACAAGCGCATCTGTTACGTGTCTGCAGGCTGCATGTTGTCTTTCCCTCTCCTTTTGTTTGCCACTCCCTTAGGTACGCAGACTGCAGGCTGATGTCTTTTTGTTAGAAACACTAGGTAAGTAGGTTGATGCCACCCATGTAATTTTGAGCTTGTTTTGAGTTGAGGTTTAGGGTCTTTCCCCCCTGTTTTTGTTTTTCTAGGATAATAGCTCAGCTAAGTTTTGGTTTTGCCTTTTTGGTGGTTTTTTTTGGCACAACCTAACTGTCCCTTTCTCCCCCACATTTGTTGTTTGAATTTGGGTTACTTATTTTGTGAGAGCGCTGCCATTAAACTTTTTTTATAACACCTGTACCAGGTTTCCAGAGTCGTTGTGTCATCCTCTCCTGCCCTCGAGGAGACGTAACAGCATCATTACTAATAATAACTTAATACTGGTTCTTTTTCTTATAATAAATCACTACCAGATAGTAAACATGAGAATAAAGTTTCAACAGCTGTTTGCAAATCCAGCACAAGTTTATGAAGTCCTTTCTCATTGTGACTCTTACCTATCTGAGACTGGGCAATCATCGTAGCTTTACGGTCACAGAGAGGAGAAAAGGGGAGCCCAAGTTCAACCTCTTTATCTCCCTGGAAACAATGTAGAAAGTGGGACGATATAACACTGTGTCTTCAAGTACTCAAGTTAACTTTATGGGATTTGCATTCAGTTTCTGCTTGAGCCTTAAACAATAAAACACAATGGAGACATCCTCCTCATGGAAATAAGCTAAAATATCTTCATCATTACAACATGGGCAATAGAGTCTTTCAGTGTTTCAGAGTGCTTCAGTGATAACACAAAAATGTATTCTTACCGATACAAGTTGACTGGAATTCGTTGGGTGGACTCAAAAAAGTTAAGTGTTGTATAACAAAACAAACAGCTCTGCAGCACCCAGGTCATCACCTGTAACTGTTACAGAGCTCATACAGTTTCTAGTAATAATGTCAATTATGTCGGCTATGACAACTGAAAAAGATTTTATTAATTCTAAATGGCTAATTAGGCTAACGTTGCCTTTATTTGTTAATGCAGCAACAATTAGCTAATTTTTCTTTACTGGTTGATTTATTTTTAACATGGCACCAAATTAATTTTGCAGTAGGCATTACAAATGGTAAATGGTAAATGGCCTGTATTTGTATAGCGCTTTTCTAGTCCCTAAGGACCCCAAAGCGCTTTACACAACCTGTCATCCACCCATTCACACACACATTCACACACTGGTGATGGCAAGCTACATTGTAGCCACAGCCACCCTGGGGCGCACTGACAGAGGCGAGGGAAAGAGAAGGGTATCAGAATTCTGTGTTATTATATGGAGAAATCCTGTTTTAAAGAACCTTCTAAATTGTTGCTAAGCCATGATGGGAAATGGCAGTCAAGGGTTTACTAAAACACTTTTACAAAGTATACAACCAGTGACAGTGCCTGTGTTACACTGATTTTTAGTGTTTTATTGATTTACAGAGGATGATTCCTTGGCTTGATTTGATAGTTGATTTTAAAGTCCACGAGCATCCTCACAAATGAGAACCCTCACTGACAGATGTTTGTACCTGTCTAAAAAATTCCTCCATCAGACTGTGGGTCCAGCGGTAGTGCAGTGGCCATGCTTTGGCTGGATGGCTGATGTCTGCAGCATGAAGCATCAGAGACAAAACCTTCACTTTGTCTATACTGGAAAGGAAAAGGAAACAAAATCATTTCATTAATATCCATCAATCAAAAAGAAGCTATATTACCTTGACTAAAAACTGAGCATCTACATTTTTGGACCTGTAGAAGATCAGCAAAAATGTCTTTTGAGAATGACTTGTGAAGGAAAGAAACTGCTCTGCTACAGCTTCCCATATGTTATGTGAACAGTGCTGTGCCTTTTTGTATTTTGATCATATTGTGCAGACTGTACAGTTCTGCCCGCTGCTGCAGCAACAAAAGCAGAACCAGCGTGTTGACAGGCTGATGACAGCGTCTTCCCCCAAAATCCATCCAAGCGTGAGCTGAGAATCACGACAGCTGCCAGCACCCCCTCCATACACACTCAGACACGCTTACACACAGAGACACACAGATACACATGGACACACCTCCGCAGGTCCAGCAGGACTGACAAACATAGAGGAGATACTGGACTCTGGTACTATTCCTGTGATAGCTCCTACAGGAACGCACAGGGCAATCTGGTCCAGCAGCCTGCAGGAGCTTATGTTGGGCCTTTTCACCACACTCCCACAGATGATCTGGTCGTCTCTGTCAGATAGACTAGCCTTGCACAGTCTGCCGGAAAATCTTTTATGAAACTGCAGAGGAATCTAATTTTACATGTTTGAGTGGGAAAAGTCATTTTTGTGTGAAGAATGAAAAGTATTTGTAGTTCAGAGTATCAGCGGGTTTAGAAATGGTAAATATTAGATTTTTAAGATGAAATTGAAGAAGTCTATTTACGTAAGAAAGACAGAAAGACATGTTTTCACTTAGAGAATTTTATTTACCTAAAAGGTTCTTAGAAGTCTTACAAAGTTCAGGGTTAAATTAGCCACAGGCTCAATATAAAACAATGTGGTGACCTGAGACAATGGAAAGCGAACGACAACTTCAAGAGACAACGGCCGAAACAACCATCAGTGTACAAGAAGTGGGCCTACTGGAGAAAAACCTTTTCTACACCTCTATAGTGAGCCACTAAAGTGACTACCAGTGAGAGTGAAAAATATTGTTGACTGACATACATCAGCCGGAGCATCTGCAGGCGACCAGCTGTCAGCTTCAAAGCAATGTGCAACAAGCCTTACTTAATCTTTCTAATCTCCAGCTCAGGGCATAAATCTGGTCACAAAAGGAAATCTGAGAAAAAGATGAGTTCTCTTATTCACTTTATCAGTCTACAGTCTCAGCTTGATAGTTTAGCAACATATTGAATACAACATGATGTTCATTTTGTAAATTATCAACTTCATCAGAGGGGAAAGGGGGATGAAGGAGAGTATGCCTTACTTCCCAGTGTGACTTCCCAGTGATTGACTGGTAATAGCTACTACACCATGTGTGCCCAGTATGTCTTGGTTACTATGCTCAGCTGGAGGTTTTAAGACAGGACCTCACTAACAAATGGGTGACATGATGGTGGCACCTGTTTGTAAACACAGGAACTAATTTCATGCCATCGACACAGCACCATCTTAAACATAATTAGCTGCTACATCTGTTGCAGTGTTAGCTTTCACAGCTGTAAGCCGACCGTTATCGTGCGCTTTCCTCCACCAAACCTAAGCCAACAAATAAGTGATATTTTTCACGGCACGATTTTATAACTAAAGGCTTTCAGGTTTATCGTTTCTTCCAATGACAGACTGCAGACATTCTAAAGTGATATGAGCCAACATTATCTGGAGTCACCAATATGTTGTACAAACTAACCAAAAACATTATCTATAATATCTTATCTGCTAGCAGGACCCTCTCCTGAATCAATTTTATTGGCAATCAAGGCCTCAATTTTGCATGTGGTAGAAATTAAGGATCTGCAAATATCCTGTTTAATAATACAATAAATTGACTTTTTCCAGTTTGCCAGTTACACAACATTTGTGGCCACAGCAGGACATGACGTTATTTTCATGTGGTGGAAATAAACTGATAGAATGAATCCATTTCTTTTTACTTTTCCATCTGAACTGGAAAAGTTTGGTCACAATGATACATTTATGCAAAATAATATATTTATTTATTAAATAAAGCTGTGGAAAATATGAAAAATACACAAAGGCATGGATACATTATGTTTTGTTAACAAAACATAATGTATCATTGGCTATCACTGATCTAATGATAGCCAGTTACAAAGGTCAAAGGTCACTAATAATGGCTAGAGTTCTGACCTGTGTGTCTGTGTTAGGGCATTCCTCATGGTCTTGATCTGCTGGAAATGACAGGACATGTCTGTTGACATCACCATCTCTATCACCAGAGACCTCAGCTCCCTATGAAAAATAAATAAACAAACACATCCAGTAATCACCCATCAGTTCTCATCAAAGAGCCCACACCTCTGAAAGTTTGTCAACTTGACATTGTCGAGACGCTGTGGGAACTCAACTTCTTTTGGGTTCAAAAAACAAGTCAAGTAAATAATTAAAGTTTAGGATTAGGCATTGATTTTTGGTTAGGGTTGGGTAAACGGCTAGGGAAAGCATTATGTCAATGAGCTGTCCCCACAAGGATATGAGTACACACAGTGTGTGCGTGTGTGTGTGTGCGTGTGTGTGTGTTCACATATATCATGCCAGGTTGGGGCACTAACCAGACTTCACACTAACACATGAGGACTGTGTCATCATGTGATGAAAACTCTGTTTCTGAAAACAATACTAGCTGTATAGAAAACACTTTAACCAAGGAAACATATTTAAAATATTTTCAGTCACCTGATTTTTACAGAATCTGCTGGGAATTCTGTAAATGTCATCAGAACAGTAAGTATTTTAAAATAGCCCTTTCTTTGTCTCTTAGAGAAGGAGTTCTGTACATCAACACAAAGGACACAAGGTGGAGTTTTGTATGTAGTTGTGATGTCAAAGCTCAGGGTAAGGGCATTTAGGTGCATTGAGATGGAAGCACAAACATCAAGAATTGGCAGTAAGGGCAAACCTCCAGTCATCTTTGTTCAGGTTGACCAGGATATTCATGTCTTCTTCAGCCATCAGCCTGTAGGCAGCGCTGACATGATAGTTCTCCAGCACTGACCTGTCATTGTACAGAATGGCCACTTCCGACCTGACAGACAGACACAACATCCAATCAGATATCTTCTGCAGTTTGTATACAGAAGCCGCAACATCAGCAGGTTTCCTGTTGTTCCCCTACTTAAGATTCACCACACTTGCTGAAATTTTTGAAAAAAAAGAAGGGTGGGGGGACTCCAGATGAACCCCACTGTGTTATTCCTAGCGCCTCCTTAAACCTGTCACCATGCTTTTGAATCAAGCATCTGGAACTCTGTTGGATGAATTCACAACTCACCCAGTGAACTGGCAGATTCCCATTGTTTTATTATGTAAGATAAAGATGTTTTTCATGAGTCTTTAAACACAGGCCTAATTCATATGTTATGTACTACGTGACAAACTTTATATTGTTAACTTTATATTGTGTTTAGTGTTAAATGTCAAATAACAATTACCTTAAGTTAATTATCTTGAGAAAAACTGTCCCTGTCAAATCAGATCCCCTGATAACCTACATGAAGTGTTACCATCTACATTACCTGGTGTGGATGTGGAAGTTGTTGGTGGTTCCTGTGTGTTCAAAGTCGTGAATTGCTGCGGCAAAAACCATTGCAAGAATTTCCAACTCGCTCAGCCAGTGCTGCACACACACACACACACACATCATTAGTTAGCTTCTATAGACAACTGTCTTTGCAAGCCATGTGCAGGCAAGCACAGTTGCACAACAAGATTGTGACAAAATGATATCCACATAGGTGTTTTTGAAAATCTACTTCTGTCTTTGTGTGGGCTAATTTAAGGTTTGGACATCAGCAACGTTTTGGAAAATGAGGACATGCTGCGTGGTCCTAGGAAAGACTGTTTGAGGATTCAGCTTTTAAGAATCTGGTTTATTTTAACAGCAGTGTAAAGGGATGCCAGAGGTTCCCCACAAAAAGATGTGCACGTGTGTGTGTGTTACCATCAGTCCAGTGTGTAGCATCAGAAAGTGGGCAGTCTGAGTGACATCAGCGGCATGAATAAGGTTGTGGTAGGGGTTCCTGTGTTTGCTGTAACCGTTCTCAAGCGCTTCAACAAACTGCACCAGAGCCTGCACAGGAATCTGAACACAAAACTGTAAGTTAGCACAAAGACTAAATGTACTTTCCCCAGTATTAAGTTCGCCCACCACCAGATTTGAACAAAATTAAACTGCGAGTACCCTGAACCTGTTGATGAGGTCATAGCGGGTCAGAAGGTCGTAGACTAGGAACTTGAGGGCGTGCTCTCCTGTGGCCTCGTGGAAGGCAAAGACATCAAAGGACCACTGATCCACCTCCTGAGAAATGCATCAACAAATACCATCTCACATGTAAGGTATGATTACAGCAGGGGGGTGTGACATAAAGCTGGTGAGACCTTAGTGAAATGAAGATTTCTGCCAGTAGAGGGCACTGTCCTGATAATGTTTGCTCAAACAGGAAGGATCTAAAACTCAGATTAATTATCACATTTACTTACACAATTACATTTAAAGCCTCTCATTGGGTCGTGCTTTGCATCATGCAAGAAGCGTGGACTAGAATAATTCAATTTTTTTCTAAGTTTGTAGACAAAAGGAAGTGCAGAGGAGGAAACATATATCATTAATGTACTAAATCTACATTGTCCTTCACCACAGTGTCTTGCCTTTCTCCGCTTCCTTCATTTATTGTTTATCTCCTCTTTTCCTTCTCTGCTTCATTTTTTTTGTCTATATTTCATTTTCATGCCTTCCTTCCTAATAACCTCTTACTATCCAAAGCACTTCTGTTTCCTGCTTTCAGTCACTGTTTTTGGTTTTTCCACCCTTCTTTTCTTTATCTTACTTTCTTTTTTCCCTGGTAAGCTATCCAGGCTGTACCTCGCCTTTTGTCCTTTGACAGCTAGGACATAGACTCCAACACCCTCCCCCAATCCTGACTTGGACAAGGGTTTAAAAAGGCTGGTTGGCTGGCTGGTTGGCTAGCTGGCGGGATGGATGGATGTTTTATTAGCTCCTTTTATTTCTGCCTTCCCTTTACAGCTTTACCTTTTTCTTGTGCTTACCCTCATACTCTTCCCAAATCCCACTTTTTCTTCTCTTCCAAATGTCCTCTCTTAACTCCTTTCATTGCTATATCTTTACTTCATTCCTTTCCTCCCAACCAGGTCCTCACTTCCTTCTCTGTCTCCTTTATCATTACCCCTCTCAGTCTCTCTCTAGCGTCTCCTTTCCTTTTTGCAATTCGTATTTCTTTCCTACTTCCTGTTCTTCCTCTTGTTTTCCTCTCACTTTCTTCCCCTTTTTGTCTATTTCTTATTTCCCATTCCCAAGTCCTCCCTGACTCATTCACTCATTCATTCCTCTTTTCTTTTCACATTGCCTCCTTTCCATTTCAACTACCTTACTTTTTTACCCTCCTTGTCATTCTCACGTTCCTCTTTTCATCATCCTGGATTGCTTTTCCCTGCGTTTCCTACCTTCTTACACACTTTCTTACCTCTTCCAGTCTTTTTGTCATTCTTTATTTTGTTTCATTTTTTGTTTTTCTCTCCCTTCATTTCCTTTTAAGGCTCTGAACTCAGAACTCTTACTGAAAAGGTTTTGTTTTTTTTCAATTGCTAATCAAACGCAGGTTTAATACAATAAAATGTCACCTGCTGCCAGTGGGAACGCAGCAGTAATTTTTACCTTCAGAGCTGTCAAAGCTGTGGGAGGATAGGTCAGACCAGCCATGTTGGACGTCCGTCTGTACATCCTGTTGTCACACACACAGATAAAAATATCACGCACTAATTTCACACATTGATACAGGCAGTGGCATGCATATAAACACTCCCCGCACAGACCCCCTCCAGCCACCCTCCTCCACAGTTTGTGACCAGGATGGATTGTTTGTTGTCATGGTAACCGTATTCTAAACACACACACAGACACAGAATGAGCGCTGCTTCGGTGCAGCAGATATTTTTTGATTTCATGCGTCATTAAGCTGCAGCAGATGAACTGATACCGTTCTATCACTGCGAGTCATTTACAATATAATAATAGTGGACTTCACAGTTTCCCTATATGATCTCCATCCCCAGCTCTCTTGCAGGCTAACATTGTTACACTTCATGTTGGACCCTTTAATCACATCTGCGGTGGAGTCAGCCGGATGTTCTGCCGTTTATTTTGAAGAAAATCTATGACTGTTCTCTGTTCTGTCTGCAGGTGTTCCAGATTTCTGCTGCAGATAAAAATAACTGAAATGACTAAACATCTGAAAGTGTTCTTTTGAAACAATCACTTGACAGAATTCTGCGATGCCTCACTGCTTTTCTGCACATGTATAACAAGTTTTAAGATAAATTAACATATAGAGCACTAGGCTCAGAGGTTAAGAGAAACCTCTGCATGTCAGTGAAGTGGCAGGGAATACATTTATGACGTTACTGTAAAGATAAGATACAGTTACATTAAAAAGTATACTTTTCATGTTGTTTATGGCTCTTCAACATCATATAAAAACAATTCACATATCCAAGAAAACTCTTTTGCAGGTGCTGGACTATGGAAGAAAAATGTCAATAGCAATAAAAGGCTAAAGTCTGCACAGCACTGTTTTCTCAGCAGTCCTTTATCAATAAAGGTCTGTCATGGTAAGCTTGGGTTCCTGTTTTTAGTTGATTTAAGGGCTGAAAAATGAAGTAAATTCAACGTGTCATAAACTGCAGATCTTCTAAATAACCAAAAGTGAGTCAATCCTCATAGGCTCACATGTTTAGCTGTAATTGCAAGCACTCTGAAACCCTGCACTGTAACCTATGGCATAACTTGGCATGCACCTCCCTAGAAATGTAACTAAATATTGTGATTGGCCTGTTCAAATTCCTAATGCGCATTTCCTGCTACTTTTTCACAGAAGTTTGTTAATTTATCAGTGACAGAATAAAAATCATTGACTAAATATTGTCATGATCTGAGTGATGTCTGGTGTTTTTCTGTTTGGGTCCTGTGTTCTCCTGTGTCCACCTATGTGCCCTGATTGCTCACCTCCTTCTCTCATCTTCAATCTAACATCTATGGAAAGAGATGTTAGGGATTATGTAGCCAACTGTTCCATCTCTGCACGCAGTCAGAGTAACTCCCAGCAACCCTCAGGTTTACTCAAACCGCTAGTTACACCTCACAGGCCCAAGTTACTTTGGACTTCATTACCAGGCTACCCATCTCCTCTCCATAATAGGCCGGTTCTCAAAGTTCGCTCATTTTGTTGCTCTTCAGAAATTACCCACTGCTACCAAAACCACCCAACTGCTCATTGATCATGTTTCAGGCTCCATGGCATTCCACTGAAGATCGTTTTGGACAGGGGTCCTCAGTTCACCTCCCAGGTCTGGAAGATCTTCACTGCAGTGGGAGCCAACATCAGCCTCAGTTCCAGGTTTCACCTGCGGACCGACGGCCTGACCAAGAGGCTCAATCAAGAGTTGGAATTGGCTCCGTTTTGTTATGACACAAAACTCAGCCATCTGGTCCTCAGAGTTCCCATGAGTAGAGTACAGAACAACTCACTCACCTTATCTGCTACTGTCTCTCACCTTTCAACGTATCCTTAGGTTACTACCTGCTTGTCTGTAGAAGCAGATCTGTTCTTTCCATCTAGCACCACCTGCAGATAGCGCATTTAGGCCCAGAGGTCGTACTCCGAACAGTCGATCAGCACTGCCACTATGCAGATTGCCTCCAAACACCCACTCTCAGATATGAACTAGGACAAAAGGTTTGATTAGCCACTAAAGATATTCATCTTAAGGCCATCTCTCTTGCAAGCTCGCTCCCTGTTTTATTGGATGATATGAGATCGAGATTGTCATCAGCCTTTCAGTGGTTAAACTCAAGCTTCAAGCATCCATGCACATCCATCCCACATTCCACATCTCCCAGGTCATGCCCGTCAACTACAGTCCATTGTGGCTCTTGTTCTCCTGCCAAGTCTCTGATTAAACTTACCCGCAGTGCAATCTCCTAGGGGTAGGCAACTCCAGGCCTCGAGGGCCGGTGTCCTGCAGGTTTTAGATGTGTCCTTGATGCAACACAGCTGATTTAAATGGCTAAATGACCTCCTCAACATGTCTTGAAGTTCTCCTGGTAATGAACTAATCATTTGATTAAGTTAACCCGGGTGATATCTAAAACCTGCAGGACACCGGCACTCGAGGCCTGAAGTTGCCTACCCCTGCCCTAGACGCTGGCTCATGGTAAAATCCACCAAGTCCTCTTGCAAACTCTTTCCCCAGAAATGCAACTACTCACTGTTCTCAATTGCCTGACCTCCTGCTCACATCATAAACTTGTCTTGTAAAGTATGTGCACACCAATGTGCTGCGCTTTTGTGAAAAATTCATTCTACAGACTTGGAACTACAAGCACACTTGTTGCCAAATAATGATCTGAATGGTCAGATCTGTCAATGCTGGCTGTGTGGCAGGCAGGAGTAGGACCTAAACGCAGGACTCAAACACAAAGGGATAACTAGAAGAGGCAGCTTTTATGTGTTGTATCAAAATACTCAGATACTAAATTCACAAAAACAAAACCTAACGCTGGAAAATGAAAACACGAAACTGGAAGAAAACTCGAGGAAGTGATGGACACGAGGAGCCCAGGAGAACACACAGCAACATGGACAACACAACAACAAGTAGAGGAAGACAGGGGACTTAAATGCACAAAGACTAATGAGGGGCTAGGAAACAGGAGGAAACACGGCTGGTAGTAATCAGGCACAATGAGACAGGGAGAAGGGAAACTGAACTCACTGAACACAGGACGAGAGACTGTCAAAATAAAACAGGAAAGACACTGAGACACAGACTAAGAGACAAGGGCTTGACACTGGGACCAGGGGAGAAACAGAAGCAGAGAACAAGACAGAATGAGGACACAGAGAGGATGAGAGACATGACGGACTGGGGAGAACACAGACAAGACCAAGATGACCACAGCATGAAAGGGAGGAGACTAAATGAACACAAATCTAAGAACTAGAAATAGAAATGACAAAACTAGGAAGATATGTAATATTTGAATGTAATATGTCCAAATGTTACACACTGAAAGTGTTAAATTTTGAGGAAGAAAACAAAGAAAGAAAGATTCTGGGTTCATCCAAGTCTCACAAGAAGGCAGCAAGAGGGAGAATTTAATGGTTTGATCCAGGATTTGAAGCTGTATCACCACCGCATTCACACATATTTCAGGATGTGAGTGGGGAAGTTTTAACTCTTGTTGGCAGAGTTGGAAACAACTTCTGAGGAGGCAGAGAAATCATTTCAGAGAGCCGACTGGCCAGAGTAGTGTCTAGCTGTGTGTCTGGGGTTAGTATTATTTTACTATTACCATATAATTGCACCTGTGCCTACTTTGAGCGACGAGCACACTTGTTACCACATACAGTGGTCTGATTGGGTCAGATCTGTTATTTTGGAGCTGAGAAATAGCAAGAATCAAGCTTGGTTTGAAAAAATAAATGCTAAAATACTCTATATTCAGTGAAATGATACGGTGAGTGTGAAAGGTTGCAGTAAGTACAGGTGAGTACAAAAAATATTTTCATGCACAAAATATTTGTGCAAAAGTACAAAAGTCTTTAGAGTCAAACAGCAGGATAAATTGTCATTTGACTGTTTTATCTTCCTTTACCACCTTACTGTTTTTCTTCTCAGATTGCTCTTTCCCTGCCTTTGTTACCTGTGTACTTTTCTACAGCCTTTTTTCAATTTTTCTTTTGTTTTTGTTTTTTTCTCAATTTCTGTTTAAGGTTCTGAGCTGTGAAAAAAATGAGCTCTGACTGAAAAGGTTTTTATTTGTTTTAACTTCTGATCAAATGTCGGTTTAATACAATAAAATGTCACCTCCTGCCAGCGAGACAGCCGCAATCGTTTCTACCTTCAGGGTCAGAATATTCCAGAAAACTCTCTCCAAGTGCTGGACTACAAAAGAAAAATGTCAATAGCAAGAGAAAGGCAAAGTGTGCACAGTTCTGTGCTCCTACAATTATTAATAATTACCTGTCATGGTAAGCTGTTTTTAGTTCATTTAGCTCTATGGATAGTTTCCGCCTGCACAATATTATGGTCCCCATTAGAGTCACACAGCAGGATAAAATGGGGTATGCTTTACTGTGTGATTGACGAGTTGCTGCAGTATGAGGGTGAGTGTAGAATTCCTCAGTTTCTAAGTCAGACCCAACTTTTATGAAATGTAATCATATGAATCCCTCAACATTGAATCTGGTCCACATGTACCTGCAAGAGCATTCACAAGGTCCAGCTGTGGAACTGGATTTGAGTCACAGTCAGTGCTGGAACTCATCCCCTGGTGTTCAGGACCTATAAACCAAACTAGGAAAGCCACTTCACTTTGGAGCTGGCTTTGTGTGCAAAAAGATGATCAGGTTCTAGCGAGGGGCGAGTGCAATTAGAAGATCAGTATTGTCTACAGTGTGGTTGTATGTTGAAGTCTTAACCCTCTCGAGGCAGGCATTGCTGATTTGCAACAATTAAAAACTAACAACCTGATTACCCCACATACATATTTTATGAGGTTTTTTTTACTCAAAAGTACCACTGCAGGACTGCAGAAAAAGTTTAATTTGAGCCTGAGAGGGTTAAGAGTAAAGTAAGGTCATTTTAAAAAACAAGCAAACACACAAAAACACCCAAAGTGGAGAGTATAGTTATCGGAAGTTCATTTGCGGAGTGTGGCATACTGTTCATCGTAATTATTTTTCTGGAAATCAGGGAGAAGGTAAGGGTGGACTGATGGGTCAACCAAACGTGAAAGCCTGAGTCCCTTGCACTTCACGCTGCTAATGGTGAGTTTTAATGGCAGCATTGACATTCCAGACTCTTTTCACATTGCTAGTCTCTTCCTGAGTAAGTATAAAACTTATAGTTATTTACAATTCAACATTCATTTTTGACTCTGAATTGACTCACTCCTCCCCTGTGACCCTAAATTGGATAAGTGGATGAAAACCGATGAATGAATGGGTGGATTGTGGGTTGTTATGCTTACATAAAACTCGAATATCAGTTGAGAAGTTGCAGCAAATTATTAATATTGTAAAGGTTTGTGAATTGTCCTGCAGGACTCAGTTCATGTTCATAATATGTTTTTTGTTTGTTTGTTTTTTGTAACAGTCTTATTATATAAGGAGATAATGGGCGATGTCAAAGTTACTTCATTATTTTCTAGGTCAGAGCACCTGGGAGGACATAAAGGAAGAAAGTGAGTCAGTATATAAATTCGTTCCAAGCTCTTCAGCCATTTTAATCCTTGAATAGGTCTGTTAACAGCTAATGGAGTGTGAAGCAGAGGTACTTAAAGTTTTCTGCAGTTTTATACACACTGAACAATGATTTAAAATGAGATTTACAAAGCTTAACTAATGCCTGCTATGTTTAATGGCCATTAGCAGCAGTTAGAGTGAGAATCTCATTGCTGGTGCAGTTGCGAAGACACTTTCTCTATTCATGAGCATTTATTTTGAATTCACAAAACCTGAATGCAGGCTTTTGGAGAAATTATGGGACTGAAACAATTTGTGAATTTCTTTTCTTCACACTCCGTGCAGTATTTCTAGCATGCTTATTAGTGAATACAAGCTTTCTGTTTAGCTGATCAGAGCAACATTTACCTCTCTACAAATATCCCAGCCTGCACTGCATGAACAATGCTCCTGAATCTTGGCTTCTCTTCAGGGCGACGCTTGGCCACACCCATCTTCCTGCTGAAGGTGCACGCCAGCCAGTCACGCACCTCGCTTGGCACCGACTCTGCCTGCAAGTCACTGAGCTCATCTTCAGTGTCCAGCAGGCGCCTGCAGAGAGAAACAGTCACATTTTTGGCAACTGCTGATAAAGCTTTATTTTCTATACAGCCATTCATTCAACAGCCTGCTCAGGCTCACCTGGTCTCATCAGTGTAAACAGCATCCAGCATGGCAGCTGCAAGCTCCAAGTGCCTCCGGAGTTCCTGCAGGTCCACCATACCACGGTCCATCTGCTCCAAGACCGCCTTCAGCCTGACAGCACAAACAAATATACAGTGCATTATACTAATTGAGCAAACAGTAGAAGAACAAGTAAATGATGCAAAGTTATTCAGAAGTTGGACGCCCAGTGTTAAAGGGCTAGGTAACATTTAAAATCCTGTCAGGACCACTTTATTTGAAAGGAGATTGTTGTCTATATCTGCAGTAACTCATATTTGTCTGTACAGTTCTGTTCTGTATGTCCATGTGCATACACTGAAAGCTAAGAGGTAAAAAGAATGCAACAAAGGCCCCTAACACAGCAGAGCAGGCATCGGTTAGAAAACATATGGCATTAATTAACGGCATGTAACGCTTTAGCTGGAGGGAATCTGGGTTGCGAAGCAGCTTGCAGAGGCAGCAGTATCTGTATGGAAGGTGAAGCATCTTAAATATTAGTGAGTAGAATAAATTGAAGAATGTCAGCCTGGGCATCAGCTGATCTGATGGAACTGCAGGCTGAGCTTTACTGTCCAGCCTGACAGAACTAATGTTATGCTCAATTTTCTGTTAGATGCAGTTTAGTCACAAACACAATAAGCACTTTTAATTCGGTTATATGGCATTGATTTTATACTTTAATATAGTCAGGTATCTTCTTTTTCTTCATGGCTGCTGTGGATATCATTCCTCATATTTACAGCATATTTACATTTCTAAACATTCCGGAACTTTGGCGCATTCCGGAATTCCGAACATTCCGGAACTTTGGCGCATCCCGGAATTCCGAACATTCCGGAACTTTGGCGCATTCCGGAAATCTGAACATTCCGGAACTTTGGCGTATTCCGGAATTCCGAACATTCCGGAACCATGGCGCATTCCGGAATTCCGAACATTCCGGAACTTTTGCGCATTCCGGAATTCCGAGCATTCCGGAACTTTGACGCATGCCGGAATTCTGAACATTCCGAAACCATGGTGCATTCTGGAATTGATTGATTGATTGATTGGTAATTTATTTCAACATGTGAACAATATACAAGTACATTTAGAAAAGAAATGAGAGAAAAAAATATATACTATACAAATTACATACAAAAAAACATTCTGATTAATTTACATGTTGAAAGGGAGTGGGAAGAAGTATACACTTATTTAATCCCACCCCTGTCCCATAAATTATCAGTGAATATTTAGTCAGCTTCCTTACTGATATAATTTGTAATAAAAATAGTGAACAGATTTCTGATATACTATATACTATAATATCACATCACGAATTTTTTGTTTGTTTGTTTTTAAATAGAGACATTCACTTAATTTAAATATTTTCCTTTTCTTTATAGATCGAGAAGATCATATTTTTATAACTCTTTTTGAACAGTTTTATGTTTGGACATTGCTTTAATTCCGAACATTCCGGAACTTTGGCGCATTCCGGAATTCCGAACATTCTGGAATTCTGAACATTCCGGAACTATGTAGTTTGTGCTGCAGAACTGTCAAAGTACTCTTGCCTCTTTTCAAGTATTTTTGCTTTTTTGTTTCTCTCAGTGTCAACTTGAGTTATTTTTATCACTGTGGAGCTAAATTTATCAGCTAGGAGGTAGCTTTCGGTATGTCTGTTCTCAGCTGAAATCAGAAATTATGTGTCATCATGACTCTTTTTTTTTTTTTAATTACCCGATCATTCAGGCCTAGTTCCAAAGTGTCTCAGTGAAAGGTGTGGTACTTCTCTTTGTTCAGGGTGCAGATGTCCAGCTGCAATTACCATGTTTCTCTATATGTTTGATTCTGGAATTGTTTCCCCTTCTCCTCCCTGAGTCTGGTTCTACTAGTGATTTCTTATTATCAGGATGTCCTGAAAACTCCCTGAAAAGAACTTAAGTTAATCCAAAATGCTGCAGCAAGAGTACTGACAGGGACTAGAAAGAGAGAGCAGATTTCTTCTATATTGGCTTCTCTTCATAGGCTCCCTATTAAATCCAGAATCAAATTGAAAATCCTGTTCAAGGTCTTAAATAATCAGGCCCCATCTTATCTTAATGACCTTATAGTACCATATCACCCCATTACAGCACTTCACTCTCGCACTGCAGGCCTACTTGTTGTTCCTAGAGTATTTATAAGTAGTATGCAAGGCAGAGCCTCTAGCTTTCAGGCCCCTCTTTTGTGGAAACAGCTTGGGAGTTTGGATTCAGGAGACAGACACTATCTCTACTTTTAAGATTTGGTTTAAAAAAATGTTGATATGTCCTTTTTGATAAAGTTTATAGTTATTGTTGGACCAGGTGACCCTAAATCCTCCCTTAGTTATGCTACAATAAGTTTAGGCTGCTGAGGGATTCCTGTGAAGCACTGAGCGTTTCTTCTTCAGAATCAGAATACTTTATTAATCTTAGATGACGGCTGTGTGCGGACAGGGATAGGACCCAAGATGCAGACTCCAGAGACAAATTTAAACCAAAACAGCTTTAATGTTGAACGCAAACATAACATAACATAACTTGGAAAAACTCAAAATAAACTAACACCGGTGGACTGGCAAAACACAGCAAAATAAACGGTAGATCGCGACATGGACACAGAGAAACACAGGGCTTAAATACACAGAGGGAGCAATCAGGGAATGAGTAACAGGAGGGAAAAACAGCTGGGGCAAATCAGGCCTAACGAGACCAGGGGAAGCAAAACCAGACACATTAACATCAGACATAGACTTCCAAAGTAAAACCGGAAACATAAGACAGACTCACAGGCAAGCACTAAAACAAAGGGAACAGAGACGTGGGACCAGGGCAGACACAGACACTGACTGGACGTGGAAATACAGCAGACAGGGAAGACAGCAACAAAGGAACACAGACAGAAAACCAAAACACTAAAACTCTAACCAAACCCCACCCAGAGGACCTTAACTTAAGAAAAACCCGTAAAGCAAAGCTAGAATATAAAGAAATAACAAAATCAAATAACCAAAAACACAAAACACTGGGTCACCGACCCAGAAACCCTAACAATTAATCCCGAAGGAAATTATAGGTTACAGCAGGCAGCACACTTACAAAGTGCTTCCTTCACCTTTTTCACTCACCATGTGTTTTATATATGAAGGGCCAGGAGTGACACTAGTCTGTATTTGATTATCAGTTAGTATTAATCTCTGGTTTCTTCCACAGCATATCTTTAATCATCACCCCCAATTGGTTGCAGCAGATGGCCGCCCCTCCTTGAGCCTGGGTCTGCTGGAGGTTTCTTTCTGTTAAAAGGGAATTTTTCCTTCCTGCTGTCACCAAGGGCATGAACATAGCGGGCTGTGTGATAGTTAGGGTTCTTTCTAAAACTATAGGATCTTAACCTTACAATATAAAGCCCCTGGAGGTGATTGTAGTTGTAAATTGGTGTCATTTAAACAAAACTTAATCAAAATGAATTGAACTGTATGCCATAAATCAGGGTGAATTTTGTTTGTGTTGTCAGATATGTAGTTCCTACATTATAACAGTATTGTGAATGATACACAATGACTATCGCTAATAAACTGTCTGTTAACGTGAAGTGCATCACTCAAAACCCGTGTAACGCTCCGTCTGCTTTACTATACTAAATACTGTACTTCACTGGATTTAAATGTACATATAATGTATATGTGTATGATATCCTGCACCTCACGACATCAGTGATATGCTTTTAGTCTGCCTGCAGTCTTCACACACCTGCTAACTGGTGGATTTTCATTCTTAGCACCCACACAGGTGCTGTCCTGTTCACACCACAGAACCAGAACATGAAAATCTGCTTCCTCCAGATGGACACATGACACGCTGCCTCCTGTCAGTCAGCTGACACCCACAGAAAACGACTGGAGTCTCCTCCAGGAAATAAACACGCTGCCTTGTAGAGTGCATCTTCCTTGCGTCTTTGCCAGCCAACAGTGCCCTTATGCCAGTTTGAAAAGTTCTCAGATGGGATGACCTATGACTTACTTTTAAATGATGAAATCAGATTAAGTTACATATCACAAACTAATGGCTTCATTGAAACAGAATTTGTGCAAACTGTTTGAAAGTCATTAGAGGTTAATTATAAGCATTTAAAAGCACTTATAAGCTCTCCAGGCTTCATGAAAGACAATTAGTGCTCTTGTTTGGATGTTGTCTGCCTTTTCTTCTATTTTCTGTCAAGAGAAGTGGTTCAGTAATGTTGACGTCCTGTCTCTGGGGAGGCCAATCCATGACTGATACTGTTCTAATGTGTGGTTTTCTATCCAGTTATGCTTTTACTCCACTGGCAGTAGTTGATACTATTCATCAAGTTTTCCAGATGGTATTGCCTGGTGGATCAAAATCTACTATTCTGCATTCATAATTCCAGGTTTTGACAGCCACCCTTCCACTGAGATCTGATGAGCCTTTGGCAATCAGTAGATCAACTGAAAGGCCAGGCCAGATGCATCTGTCGGGTCCTGTATTAGGTCTTTGCCCAAGGACATGACTCTCAGATACAGTTCATTTGCTGTAGATTTGCTGTAGTTTTTTAGGCCTGCTACTTCAAATCAAATCAAATCAATTTATTTATATGGCACTTTTCACAGAATAAAAACCACAAAGTGCTTCACAGTAATATAAAACAGAAATACATAAAATACATTAATAATCAAACATACAGCACAAATCTAATTAAAAGCCAATCTAAATAAATGAGTCTTAAGCTTCTTTTTAAAAGAATAAATACAATCAAGGCAACGTAATGATGGAGGGAGAGCATTCCACAACCTGGGGGCCACCGCTCTAAAAGATCTATCACCTGGTCTTAAAATGAGTTTGTGGGACTAACAACACCTTTGATTAGATGATCTCAGACTGCGCAAGGGAACGTGGGGTTCTAAAAGATCAGAAATGTAGGCAGGGGCATCACAATTCAAAGCTTTAAAAGTCAGTATCAAGATTTTTAAATGAATTCTAAAATGTACTGGAAGCCAGTGTAATGAATGTAACACTGGTGTAATGTGCTCTCTTTTTCGTGTCTTAGTTAAAAGCCTTGCAGCAGCATTCTGGACTAACTGGAGACGGTCAAGATTCCTTTTGCTCAAACAAAGAAAAAGACTGTTACAATAATCTAAGCGAGATGAAGTAAAAGCATGAATAACCATTTCTAACTCAGATTTAGACAGCAAAGTTCGCAGTTTGGAGATGTTTCTTAGCTGAAAAAGGCCATTTCTAATCAAGTGGGGACAGTGTTGTTCTAGGGACATGGCAGAATCAAAGATCACACCAAGGTACCTGAGGCTCAGGATGACAGATGAGCCAAGAGAACCAGGATGCTGTTTGTGATATTTTGTATGTAGCGGACTGTCGACAGGGTGATTTAAAGACTCTGCTGTGTCCAAGCCTTTTAACATTGCCATGGTGACCTACCACCACCCTGTAAATTGGATGAAATTTGTTTTAGTTGCCATGGTAACAGCTGAAGTCAGAGTAGGAGATGGTGAGAAAGATAACTTCAAGACTAGAGAGATTGTGATTCAGGTGCGTCATTTTCAGGTGTCAACAAAACACCATCTGTTTTCTTTTTTAATAACTTGAAATATTCCATGTTATTAGTAGTTATTAGTAGTAGTAGCTGCTGAGTTTTACAAATGTCACTGTAGGTTAGAGGTTTCTAATGCAGTGCGTTTAGAACTGTTTCAGTAAAAGACACAACCCCAACCACAAAGGTGAAGTCCCTGTATTCAGTAAGACTTGAAAATAGCCGGAGGCCTTTCTGTGTGGAGTTTGCATGTTCTCCCCATGTTTTCCATGGGTTCTCTCCAGGTACTCCGGCTTCCTCCCACAGATAAAAGACAGGTAATTAGTGGTGTTATGTTAGGTTAACTGGTGGTCTCTAAATTGCTCATGCGAATGGTTGTCTGTCTGCTTGTTCACACTACAAATAAAATAGTGTGAACTCTCAAAGCGGCCCGCATGCGCAAAAGAAGATGTCACACACAACGCGCTCTGTTTAGACCCAGAGCAAACAATATTTGACTGATGGCCCTTAATATAAAGACTTCGGACTTTACGTTTCCCAATTATTGCTTTAAGTTATTTTGTTATTTACATAATAATGTAAATAACCTAATAATTATCCTTATTGCTGTTTTAGAGGAGCGGTGCTTCAAAGGATAGTAGCAGATTTCTGTCAGAATCTGCAGATTATACAGTACAAATAAAATGTTCACGTTTCTCCAACGTTGTCTTCCCAACAGTTTCACTGACATCTACGCTGGATGGCCAGGAAGCGTTCGCGATGTCTTATCGGGCTCTTCTCCGGCGCTGATAATTGGCATCTGTCTTGTGTCAGTGACGTAAAAGACGGATTTAATGCGACATGACCGTTCAAACAGCAGTCGCTTTCTAAAACATCGGATATGTATCGGATTCAGCACCACATACGAAAGTGACCCAGATCGGATTTGAAAATATCGGATTTGTGCCGTTCACACTGTCACACTATGATCGGATATGGGTCGCATAGGGTCAAAAAAATCGGATTTGACGCGCTTTCGCCTGCAGTGTGAATGTAGCCTAAGTTTACAGTCTACAGTCTCAAAGCTAAAAGCAATATCCCCTGAGAACACACACATTTACAGTCAGATTTGTTTTAAAATTACACAAAATACGTAAAGAAATAGGGAGGGTCTTTTTAAAGAGCTGAAACATGTTTTAGTGTTGCACGTCAAACAAGGCCTCCCTCTGGGAGTGTATCTGTTTTAGACAAAGACAAAGTTATTTTTTCTTTTAAATTTCAGGGTAAAGCAAGTAGTACCTTTTATGTGTCGATGATGGTTTCCACAATTCTAAAATAACATGCTAATTCATTTTCATATTTTTATGATGCATAATGAGCTCAGTGTGCTTTTATGGTGAAAAAAATCTTTGTGCACTTAATTATCAAAGACTTACTCAAAACAACTGCAGAAAGGATTTAATCATGAATCAGAAAATATAGACTGCCAGTCAAAAGTTTGGAAACATCTTCTCATTTAATATTTTTTCTTTATTTTTTACTACTTTCAACATACATAGATACATGCTGAAGAAGAAGAAGGAGAGTGATGGAGTGCTGCGCCAGATAGCTTGGCTTTCACAGTCATCTGACCTAAAGCAAAGGGTGACTATTTTGAAGAATCTAAAATATAAAACTTGTTTTGAGTTAATTCACACACATTCATAGTCCTGATGCCTTCAATGAGAATCTACAATCTAAATAGTCATGAAAATAAAGAAAAACCTATAAAATAGAAGATGTGTCCAAGCTTTTGACTGGTAGTGTAAGTTTCATAGACCAAAAGACCAAGGGAATGTTATTAAATATCTACACTTTTCACTTCTACACTTTTATAAAGAAGAAAAAAGCAAAAACATCTGCAGTTTAGAGAAGCTGATTTTTTTTCTCTATTTTGTATTTTTAATTTTTCATTCATGCTTGTCAGTTGTCACAATGATTTTCCGCTAAACAAATACACAAGAATACAACTAATTGTTTCAACTCTCCATAAAAACAATTGTGCGTGTATGTGTGTGCCAGTGCGTGCCTTACCTTTGCGATGTACTTTTATATTTCTGCCTGTAAACAAACAAGAACAAACAAGAGTTAATCAAATCGGCCACTCACATGGTGAGTTTCAGGCTAGGTTAGAAGGCACACCTTGAAACAAACATGCAGACTAACAAAGATATTTCTTCTCTGAATAAAGTCTTATCTTCATCAACAAAAACACATCTTCACATTGGAACTAATAAATAAACCACAGAGTATTCAGAAGCTTGAATAAATGTCTATATCGGTATATACAGATATATTTCATTTGTACTGAACTACTCATTAAATTAACAACATGATATATTTTAAAAGACTTTTTACGAGACCAGATTGCTCCTATAGTGGCCATCAGAAGGTACTTAAGGTACTTTGGCACATTGGATTCACGTTTTAGACCTTGATGGCACGTCCATCATTTATATACAGTTTATGAGTGCACACCAAAGCTACCTGCACTAATGTCAGTGCGTTAGGTGGAAATGCTGCTTGGATTTACTGAAGTCAGTCAGGGGGCTGCATAACAGAGAGCAAACTCAAACACTGCATGCGAAAAGCAAACTGTCATTTCCATTAACCTCGAGACAGATGAGAATGACATGCAACCACGGGAGCGTTACACAACAAAAATGGCAACTGCTGTTGCCTCGAAAGGCTTAGAAGACACATAAAGCTAAACCATACATACATGATACATGGCCAACATACTCAAAAACTGTTTGTCCTCTGTGTTAAGTCTTTTAAAATGTCCCTCATTCCAATAAAATCTGAAAAGTCTGAAAGAGACCGGTTAGCAAATCATGTTTTCTACCCATTTTGTGTGCAAGGGTGGCTCAGACAAGCACTCCAAAGCACTGGAGCAAAGGTTTTCGTTCTGGGAATTGAGCCGTCCCAGCAGGGTGTCAAAGAGTTGAACATGGAGAGCGGAGGTGAAAGGAACCCATGAATGCTGGGTATTTTGTGGAGATTGGTGGCTGATTTGGTTGCTTTTCAACACTGTCAGAGGTTCCAGCAACAGCAGTGGCTCATGGAGGTAATTTAGGTACTTTAAACCCGTTAGTAGCAGATTGCAGCAATTTGCATCAAACATGGAGCTTCCTATGAGTCATAACACAGCCAAATATGAACATATAGATATGATACACCTCCTTTTAGATTCAGTGTACGGAGGATAGTAGCATATTCTGCAGGCATCATAAATGAATATGTCATCTTGATAAGCAGCCTGAGAATCCTCACATTTCTATGTTTCCTTTTGTAATAGGCACATGCCAAAGAAGAACTGCAGATAGACTGCTAACAATGAAAAAAACTACAGCAGTTTAAGTGAATGACTGACTCTGTGTTACAACACAATTCATGTTTATATCACCAAAAAACCCCAAATTATTAGAACCCTACACAAAGAATAATCATGACTTAAAAGGGATTCAGGGGTTTACTGTCAGCTTTTTCTGTCCTACATCAACCAGGGATCGCACATACCCTATCAAGTTGTTTTTTCTTTGAATATATTTCTAGTGTCACACTCCATTTCAGACTCCATTTTTCTCATTCATTTCTCTGAGCGTGATGGCTGACAATGATGTCACTGCCTCCAGCTCAACATTTGAATTCACTGAGGTTGATTCCTGTCTTACGCCAAAGGGGGCGGGAATATTTTCCCAAAAAGTTGCATCAATAAAGTGGTTGGAAGCTTCTAAATGTGCTAGTGCAGACAACCTTTCCCTTTCCCTCTAAAACACAGATGCCTCATAGTAAGGTCCAATCTGGGGAAGCAGCACCTGTTAAATGCTTTATTGTTAATTTTGTGAAACTGTGAAGCACATGATTACATTTTACCGCTGTTATGTGGTGAAGGATGCAAAGCAAAGCCAGTCCATGCAGACTGTTCTCTGATAAAGACAGAGGCCAAGTTAATGAACAGGGTGCCTAAATATAACTTTGTACTGACAAATGATTTGCTGGATGAAATATTAGTCTGCAGATTTTTGTAGCGATGAAAGGTTAAAGAATCTAACATTCCAATCGTGATATTGGGCGTGCAGGTTAAAGCTGTGTCACATGTAAAGAAACATATGATATGTTGTATGTGTGTTTGGGATGGATTTTCAAGTAAATGACCAAATTCCTATAAATGCTGACATCTGACAGATACACACATTTCTGGCAATAATGAAAAAGCTCTCTTACAACTAATGTGTCATGTATGGAAGATCACCTTTGTTACATTTTCACCACACAAGGTCAATGATGTATAGGGGACAAATTTTAAGTTTTTTTGCTGCCTAAATTAAACCAAGTACGTGTTGCTGACTAAAGCACACGGAGCAGGGAGAGAAACCAGAACACAAGCAGTATTTGACATGATGGGATGGAAACACATATTAAATAAATATTGACTTTTTAAAAAGAAGTTTAAGGTCCCTTTTCTTTCTTTTTCGCCTCTCTTAGCTATTTTGCTGTTTGTTTGTTGTCATTTTTCTACTTATTTTGTGTCTTTTTGCAGTCATTTTGTGTCTCATTTTTTATTTTATATCTCTTTGTGCTCGGTTCCCTTCTCTTTAAAGTTTGTCTTTGATGTCTCGTGAGTCTGCAGATATTTTTTGCCACCATTTTAACCCTCTCAGGCTCAAATTAAACTTTTTGTTACTAATGCACAACCAAGTCCTGCAGTGGTACTTCTGAGTAAAAGAAAACTCATAAAATATGTATGTGGGGTAATCAGGTTGTTAGTTTTTAACTGTTGCAAATCGGCAACGCCTGCCTTGAGAGGGTTAAGTCATATTACATATTTGTGTCTCCTTCAAAGAATTATTTTGTGTCTTTATGATGTTGTTTTTTGCCACTTTTTAGTCATTTTATGTCTCTTAGAAGTTGTTTTGTGCTACTTTGCAGTAAATTTTTGTCCCTTTGTAGACATTTTATGTCTTTTTGAAGTGTTTTTGTGTCACTTTTTAGTTTTTTCCCACTATACATTGGACGTTGGATAGACATGCAGATCTGATCTATATTGGGTCCATTGGTCCATAGCCAATTCCGTCCAAATTAAGTCCACAATTTGGGCGTCCAGCCATGACCCACTTTGGCCATCAATATGACATTCAATGTTTGAACTTTGGACTGAGGACATCTATAACAGGTACAGGAAATTTACATGATTAATAAATCTAAAGGTGTCCATACATCCTTCATCTGCTGATCAGAAGGTTTGTGGTTCGATCCCTGGCTCCCCCAGTCTGCATGCCAAATATCCTTGGGCTTTTTACACAACATCACTCTTTCCAAATCAGGCCAAAGAGGTGGTACTGGTGAAGTAGTAAGATTTTAATGTTAATTTACATGTTTTCTCACCTTTGATAAATATGCCCAAATCCAATTTGGAAAGTGTTACCACTTCATTACATGTTATGAGGTCAGAAAAAAGGGGACAAAATAGACCTGATTTTACTACTATTAAAACCATGCAAAACAAAGTCAATGTCACCAAAATGCAAGCATTAAATCATGCGTCACCGAACCGAAACACCTATTGGAATGTAAATTTGAACAGCAGATTACCCCACGAGTAGATGACGACGATCTAAACGCTCCATTTGGTCTGAAATTAGCCAGTCACAGCTCTGGAATCTGACCCCAGCAGCTAATCACAGCTCTGACACGTCTCAGCTTTGAAATGCGACTGTAGAGACCTGTTATTTCATGGTCGAATGGTAATTGTACGCCGGCCTGCGTGGGCAGATCAGAGCTGAATTACAAAGCTGTATAAGGCACGCTGATCAGTGCCAGGTCGCTGCATTGTTTTCTTAGTCAGAGAAAACTCTCCAGCACGCGGCAGCAGCAATAGTGACAGGTGAGGACAGAGAGTTTCTGGAGAATGACTCACCTCCCTATCATGACTTTTACAGGGTGACGCCTTCAGCGAAAGAATTTGCATTTTGCGTCTTTACCTCTTTTTTTTTCTTTGTCCTTGTACCAATTGTTTTGTGATTTCACCTACACATTTTCTTCTCTGCATCATTAACACTGAGCTTGTGGAATGTATTTTATTTCGTGCACTGTTCTGTTTGCAATGCATCACTGCAGGGTGTGTGTGTGTGTGTGTGTGTGTGTGTGTGTGTGTGTGTGTGTGTGTGTGTGTGTGTGATGGTTAACTCCATCTAACCCGCCCACGTCTAGACCAAGTGTCCTGGAGAAAAAAGCTGAACCTCCATTAAATTGAAGCAGTGCACACACACTACACAGTATCAGCCTTTTGTTGTTTAGTTTCTTAACCACCTCATCAGGGTGGCTTCAGATTGGTCCTAAATTTAATTTTTGAAGCATGACAACAAGCCAGACATGCAAAAACCATTATAAAGATTAGTTTCTGCTTAATCTGACCTGGACAGTCTGGTACTTCTTTTAATACATCCTCAGATGGCAGAACGTTTTTTTCATAGCTGAGCTTTCTCAGCTGATTTCTGCTCTTTAATGTGTCAAAAAAGTTATTTTTTGCTTTTGTTTTTACACTTTACACTTCCTCTGTAATTCCACTCAGCTTCTCACCAAAGCCTACTGATAATAAAAATTATGCATCTCAATGTGTAAAAAAACAAAAGTAAATGAAAAGCTGTTCTATTCTCTTTTTGTCCTTTTCTAGTTTACTGCATCGAAATGTTCTGCTGTTACCACGGAAACTGGGGGAAATTTTCAAAAATAAACGAATAAATAAATATCTCCACACTTTTTTGTTTTCTTGTCAAACAGCTTTAAGCTCTGTGATTAATTTATGGATGAACTTTATGTCTGCCAGGAAGAAATAATATTGTAATGAACACAAAGACACAATCGCTCACACAAAGAAACAGCTGGTTTTGTGACCACTTGAATGGGTCTTAATCTTGTATTCATTCATGCTTGCTCTATTTAATTTGGACAAAGTTTATGATAATTTGTACATTTCAGAAACTTGCTTTAACAGGTGTCACAGGTTATAATAGAGAAGTCAATGTCACAAGGCCCTTCTAAATACAGAGTCCCCAAAC